TTCGTGGCAACATCACCACATGGGAGTACTATGAACTGCTTAGGGGGCTGTTCCATGGTCGGTTTGTTGAGAATAGCTTGTGCCTTAAGTCTGCAATCTCGGATGAAGAAAGATGGGAACTGAAGACGTGTAAAGGCTTGTATTATGTAAGTGTATTCTTCTTCTAGAAAACAAGGGCTGGAGATGCGAAGAGCTCTCAAGAAGCCAATGAGGACTCTCTCTTAGTGCGGGTGTCTTGGTGTGAATAAAAGTGTATAAGATCGTCCTTGTTGGTAGGTTTTCTATACACTTAGAAGAGAAGTTTGTCACTGTCGGGAGATCTGCACATTAGAACATCGAGGAAAGGAAGTTTGCCATCATTTTCGAGTTCAAGTGTAAACTTTATTGATGGTTCAACTGCATCTTAATACTTTCTGTGGATGTTATGAAATTTTTTTTACGTCTCTTTCGCTCGTTTGGATGTTTGTATCACTAACTGGGGCCTCCTCTTGAACCTTTTTCTGTTAATTATATTTGTAATAATCTTTACAGCCTATGAGCAACTGGTAACCCAAAACATTGTTCTCTGTTGTTTTTGTGTTGGTTCATTGTGTTTGTGTGTATAAATACCAAGTTGATATTGCGCATTTTAACTTCAGCTCCAATGGCCAGCCTTTTTTAGTATTGAATTGCTTGAGGTTCTTCTGGTCTATCATATACTTAACAAAATCGTAGTTTCTTCAGTCACTGTATTGTTAGCTAGGAGAACGCTTAAGGAAGACAGAGATATGCAGTTTCAGAGGCAAGAATTGGTAGCCACCGGAAGATAAAGTCGCAGATGAGCCGCAGGGAGTTAGGAATTATTTCTTCAGTCTCACAGCGGTCAGGAAGGGACCGATCTTGGTGACTAAGCGATGGAGGCAGGCTCCGTACACAGTTTTAAGTGCAGGTATGATAGGGCATACTAGGCTAAGAGTTAGTGAATCTGAAGAGGAGCAAGAAAAGAGACAGGACCAGGATCTGAGAATCGTCCCTGCAGCCAGAAGATGAGAGTACAAATGACTGAGCGCGCGCGCACACACACACACATACACACACACACACACACACACACACACACACACACACACACACACACACACACACACACACACACACACACACACACGCACACACACACACGTGTGGTACACCAACGGTGATGGAATAACAAATAAGTGGAAGGAGTGGCATGAAAGAATTACAAAGGCATCACCAGACATCATAGCTCTCACAGAAACTAAGCTGTCAGTGATGATAACAAATTTCATCTTTCCAACTGAATATCAGATCCTGAGGAAAGACAGAGAGAACAGAGAGGGTGGCACTGCTCAAAAAAAAAAAATGAGTTTGAGGAACTGGAAAGAGGAGACAGGAGAAACAAGGGACTACTTTATAGAAACATTCAGAAATAATGTAGATCTTAATACTACCGATTGCGAAAAGGATTTAGGAGTTCTGGTTAGCAGTAATCTAAAACCAAGACAACAGTGCATTAGTGTTCGCAATAAAGCTAACAGAATTCTTGGCTTCATATCTAGAAGTATAAATAATAGAAGTCCTCAGGTTGTTCTTCAACTCTATATATCCTTGGTTAGGCCTCATTTAGACTATGCTGCTCAGTTCTGGTCACTGTATTACAGAATGGATATAAATGCACTGGAAAACGTACAAAGGAGGATGACAAAGATGATTCCATGTATCAGAAATCTTCCCTATGAGGATAGACTGAGGGCCCTGAATCTGCACTATCTCGAAAGGCGTAGAATAAGGGAGGATATGATCAAGGTGTATAAATGGAAAACAGGAATAAATAGAGGGGATGTAAATAGCTGCTGAAAATTTCCAGCCAAGACAGGACTCCCAGCAATGGTTTCAAGTTGGAAAAATTCAGATTCAAGAAGGATATAGGAAAGCACTGGTTTAGTAATATAGTCGTGGATGAGTGGAACAAACTCCCGAGTACAGTTATTGAGGCTAAAACGTTGTGTAGTTTTAAAAATAGGTTAGATAAATACACGAGTGGGTGTGGATGGGTGTGAGTTGGACCTGACTAGCTTGTGCTGCTGGGTCTGGTGCCGTGCTCCTTCCTTGAGTGGAGGTGACCACACTGGGTGGGTCATTGGGCTAATCCGGGTTGGGTGGGTCATTGGGCCAATCCGGGACCTGCTCCGCATGGGTCAGTAGGCCTGTTGCAGTGTTCCTTCTTTCTTATGTTCTTATGTAGATCCTAAGGTGGTGATTTCAGTGACATATAACTCACCACAGCACAGCAGGAGGTCAAGACAAGAATATGATAAAAGTAACAGAGAGATGGTTGACACACTGGCTGAAGTGGCCAGAAGGACCCATGTGGGCAAGAAAAAGCTACCGGTTGTGGGTGATTTCATTCACAAAAAAATCGACTGGGAAAACCTGGAGCCACATGGGGGCCCAGATGATGCAGATGATGAAGGTAATAGTAGAAAACTTCATGCATCAACACGTTAGGGCCACTGCCAGAGAGACAGGAGAGGACGAACCAGCAAGACTGGACCTAGTATTCACCTTGAGTAGTGCAGATATTGAGAACATCACATATGAAAGGCCCCTCGGAGATAGTGATCACGTGGTTCTGAGCTTCGAATACATAGTAGAGTTACAAATGGAGAGGGAAGCAGGAAGGGCAGGACGAATGAAACCAAACTACAAGAGAGGGGACTACACAGGCATGAGGAACTTCCTGCAACAGGTTCAGTGGGACAGAGCACTGGCAGTTAAATCAGTAAATAAGATGATAGAATTTATGACAACAATATACAGGTAAGCGGAGGAGAGGTTTGTATCCAACAGACATAATAAGGCCAGGACGAGCCATTGATTCACCTAAAGATGTAGAAAGGCTAAAATCGAGTGCACTACAGAATGGAAGAAGTAAAGAAGGCAATGGATCCAGAAGAATAAGGAGAGTAATCGAAGAGCAAGAAATTATTATGCATATGTAAAGAATGAGGCCCAAGTACAATATGAAAATGACATAGCAGCGAAAGCTAAGTCAGACCCAAAGCTGTTGTACAGCCACATCAGGAAGAAACAACAATTAAAGACCAGGTAATAAGGCTGAGGAAGGAAGGACGGGAGTTTACGGGAAACGACTTTGATGTATGTAAGGAGCTCAACATGAGATTCAAAGAAGTATTCACAATGGAGACAAAGGACTCCAGAAAGACGGAGAGGTGGATAAACCAACAACTGCTGGACACGATACATACAACCGAGGAGGAGGGGAATAGGCTGCAAAGCGAACTAGATATATCTCAAAGGCGATGGAGCCGGATAACATCTCTCCTTGTGTCCTGAGAGAGGGAGCAGAGGTGCTCTGTGTACCAATAACAACAATCTTCAACACATCTATTGAAACAGGGCGACTACCTGAAGTATGGAAGACAGCAAATTAATTGGACTCCATAGATTTATAAGATCAAAAGGACGAGGAAAAAGGCATGCAATTTTACCTATCGTACAGATGTACTGATATGCAGTTATTAAAGTATAGTAAAGATCAATCATGAGTAAGTGGCCCATTATAAAGGACTAGAATTATATATCAAAACCAGACGTATTATCAGAAAATAGGATAATCCTGTGTTCCAAATACGACTAAGTTTTGACATGGTAATTGTAAGAAAGAAGATAGGGGTTGGGACATTGCGTTCACGTAAGAAGCATTTCTGAGTATAGTTCACTTTAAACAGACTAAGTTGCAGCAGCTGTTGAGACCATAGTATAACATGTAAGTGCAATGGATAGAAAATACTGAGGGAAGTTCAGGCACTCATGGTCTGATGAAGTGCCAGAGTCACCTGTGACGAGATGGGTTTGAGGGAGCCTTTCAGTATATGTGAATGTATGACGAATTAACAGATCAGATGGTCCCTGTTGCAGACGTTGAAGTTAATGAAAATTGTCATATCGGAGAGGTATAGGCAGAACTCATGATGGATCTGGATAGGCTTCCATCTGGTCCTCAGGTTGGCTCTTGAACTTCAGATTTTGAGCTTACATAGCACATGATTCTTTTGCACGTAAAAAGGCAAAGCGAAAATATTGTGTTAATGCAATATATTTCCCAAAAATCATTCTGAATCTTAACAAATAAAATAATTGTCATCTGTTTGCTTTTTAATAATTATTGGTAACTTAATCTAAACTTATCATTTTATGTGTTGAATACCATGGTACAATTGAGCTTGTTATCATTGGATTATTAGCTAAGTTATCTTCAGATAGGACTTAACTTTAATTGGTTTTTTGCTTAAGCACCATTTTACCTTTCTGTGTCGATTATATATATACTTATATAGCTATATTTATAATTGGTATTATTGATTATATAATTACATTGCATTTTCTATATTATATACATATATATAATATTTTAATACATTAATATTGTATGATAGTTTCATTATATATATATATTTTATACTTCATTTTTTTTCTTTTTTCAATTAAGTATTCGACGAAAGTTTTTAATAATTTAAATACATTAATTTTTTGAATCATGAGACTTCCAGCACCTCTATTGCTAAATAAATTTTAAATTTCAGTGAGTCTAGCTAATACCTTACTGTTATAACTCCCCGGCCCCTTTTACCATAATATAATTTCCCTTCTGTGTATTGCAATATCATTCGAGAAATTGAGGTCTTGAAGCTTACCATTGGTCACCTTCATTGATGTCTTGAAGCTTATCATTGGTCACCTTCATTGATGTCTTGAAGCTTACCATTGGTCACCTTCATTGCTGTCTTGACGCTTATCATTGGTCACCTTCATTGATGTCTTGAAGCTTACCATTGGTCACCTTCATTGCTGTCTTGAAGCTTATCATTGGTCACCTTCATTGATGTCTTGAAGCTTACCATTGGTCACCTTCATTGCTGTCTTGAAGCTTATCATTGGTCACCTTCATTGATGTCTTGAAGCTTACCATTTCTCACCTTCATTGATGTCTTGAAGCTTACCATTGGTCACCTTCATTGCCGGCTAAAGCTTAAGTGAGTTCCACATTATTTCATTCATAACAATACCTTCAAACCGCAATATATTCAGGTACTTCCATTAAATGTCACTTGTGGCTAACATTAAGCTGAAGTAGATTACATTTAAGCTGATGGTACATAACATTTAAGCTGATGGTACATTACATTTAAGCTGATGGTACATAACATTTAAGCTGATGGTACATTACATTTAAGCTGATGGTACATAACATTTAAGCTGATGGTACATTACCATTTAAAGCTGATGGTACATAACATTTAAGCTGATGGTACATAACATTTAAGCTGATGGTTACATTTAACATTTAAGCTGATGGTACATTACATTTAAGCTGATGGTACATTACTTTTAAGCTGATGGTACATTACATTTAAGCTGATGGCTAAGTAGATTACATTTAAGCTGATGGTACATTACATTTAAGCTGATGGTACATAACATTTAAGCTGATGGTACATAACATTTAAGCTGATGGTACATAACATTTAAGCTGATGGTACATTACATTTAAGCTGATGGTACATTACATTTAAGCTGATGGTACATAACATTTAAGCTGATTGGTACATACATTTAGCTGATGGTACATTACATTTAAGCTGATGGTACATTACATTTAAGCTGATGGTACATAACATTTAAGCTGATGGTACATAACATTTAAGCTGATGGTACATTACATTTAAGCTGATGGTACATTAACATTTAAGCTGATGGAAATATTAACATATTAAGCTGATGGTACATTACATTTAAGCTGATGGTACATTACATTTAAGCTGATGGTACATAACATTTAAGCTGATGGTACATAACATTTAAGCTGATGGTACATTACATTTAAGCTGATGGTACATTACATTTAAGCTGATGGTACATAACATTTAAGCTGATGGTATATAACATTTAAGCTGATGGTACATTACATTTAAGCTGATGGTACATAACATTTAAGCTGATGGTACATAACATTTAAGCTGATGGTACAATTACATTTAAGCTGATGGTACATACATTTAAGCTGATGGTACATACATTTAAGCTGATGGATAACATAACATTTAAGCTGATGGTACATTACATTTAAGCTGATGGTACATAACATTTAAACTGATGGTACATTACATTTAAGCTGATGGTACATTACATTTAAGCTGATGGTACATAACATTTAAGCTGATGGTATATAACATTTAAGCTGATGGTACATTACATTTAAGCTGATGGTACATACATTTAAAAACCTGATGGTACATTACATTTAAGCTGATGGTACATTACATTTAAGCTGATGGTACATAACATTTAAGCTGATGGTATATAACATTTAAGCTGATGGTACATTACATTTAAGCTGATGGTACATAACATTTAAGCTGATGGTACATAACATTTAAATTGATGGTACATTACATTTAAGCTGATGGCACATAACATTTAAGCTGATGGTACATTACATTTAAGCTGATGGTACATAACATTTAAGCTGATGGTACATTACATTTAAGCTGATGGTACATAACATTTAAGCTGATGGTACATTACATTTAAGCTGATGGTACATAACATTTAAGCTGATGGTACATAACATTTAAGCTGATGGTACATAACATTTAAGCTGATGGTACATTACATTTAAGCTGATGGTACATTACATTTAAGCTGATGGTAGATTACATTTACATATTTGTACTTAATGTGGTAAGGTAATTCTGGAGTATATTATTTAATTAATGTAGTTGGATTTTATTAAAATTTATTTAATAAAAATGAAAATATATTTATGTTTTGTTTTCCTTTATGCTTATTAAAAGAATATTTTTAGTGCTAGGACTATTAATATAATATTTGTTTATTAATAGAGGTGGGAAATTTGTATGGAAATCCGGATATTTCAAAATTTAATCTTAAATACTTTTTTCGGATTATATGTTTTCAGCTATCAAAACTTTGGGGGCCCAGTCCCTGGACCCATTACGTACCTCTGTAATCTGTAAATACCTTTGTAACTTGTCATGATTGTGACCAGACTTACCTGGAGTTCATTACCTTTGTAAATTGTGAGTTCATTACCTTTGTAAATTGTGAGTTCATTACCTCTGTAACTTGCTCAGCTATCAAAACTTTGGAGTCCAGTCCCTGGACCAATTATGTACCTCTGTAATCTTTTGACTACCGCCCACAGGATGGGTATGGGGTGCATAATAAACATATTAAACTAACTATGTTTTTCTCTACTTTATAAAGTCTGTTTTTTTTTTATAGCAATTCATGATTGGAATGTCTTTTCTCATAAAGTGATCTCGCAGTGTTCATGTGGTCAGTAGTGTGAAGTTCAGTTATCTCAGCCGGTCTCAATATCACAGTCCTCCGTTTTTTCAGTAACGGGTCTTTCAGCAAGGCGGCGCTGACACCCAACTCTCCCGAAGCCCAGAAGCTTTCATGGTACATACATTCTCATTCTTCTCAAAACTTGTCCAAAATCCCAAAGGATAAAGAGAATACTGGAAAGCTACTTAAACCGAGGTCCATCTATATACCAGGAAGATTCAATGCGTTCTTCTCAAATATATTATATTTTTTGATTGATTATTAATATATCAACATTAGTGGTATTTTTAAGATGGATATTCTTTAATAGATCTTTTGGGTTATATTGAAGTTCAAAAGATAAATTAAGTTAATATGATGATATAAGTAATTTATGGTATATGAAGTCGAGGCAGAGAGAGAAATTTGAACTACGGTAATTACCCACAATGAGGGAGCTCACTGAAGATAAATGATCACTCTGAGCTAAATTAATATTAATGGAATATCACCTTCTCAGAGTAGAGAGAATTCATGAATATTGTCAACTACGTAAATATCTCTGCAGTTTACTCACCATCTCTAATATAAAGAACAAGAGTCAAGTTGCTTATTAATTAATTATCTAACAGAAATATTTTATTTCCTCGGTCAATGTAGAAAATAATGTTATAGCAGAAACAATCCCTGGAGGCAGCGCAGATAAAAAATCACACACATGAGCTGCTAAATCTCTACAATAAACACACCTTAAATCAGTAGATAGTTGATCCAACAAGACTGGAGAACAAACTTGCTTTTATTTTCACAAATAATAAGGACCTGGTAAGAAACATAATATCAAAAAACGACTAATTCCAATTACACTCTAATCAAAGTCGAGACTTACATGCACAGGGGTCCTGACGGGCAAAATGCACTCAGCTATGAAAGTGTTTTCATCGAATTCAACTTCAACAACAAAAATATCAACTGGGATCAGGTGAACCATATTTTACATAACATGGATCCAATCCAGTGCTTTGAAAGGATCAACTTCCTGGCAGCTGAAGTATGTTCAAGGCACATTTTCCTAAGAAAAAAGAAGAGAAGTAAACTGGAGACAGAAAGACGCTCCCTCTACTGAAGACGACGAAGAATCACTGAGCTCTTCAAGAACACTAGATTATCTGATACACGGAAGGAAGAGCTGACCAGGGAAGTGGAAAGTATCGAACTTAAGTTAAAGGATTCATACAAGATCCAGGAGAGAGAGGAGAAGCTAAGAGCGATTAGTGAAACTGAAAGAAATTCGAAATATTTCATTGTATATGCAAAAAATAAGTAAAAAACCGCATCTAATATCGGGCCCTTGCTCAGACAAGATGGGACTTACACAGATGACAACAAAGAAATGAGTGACATACAGATATCTCAGTACGACTCTGTGTTTACCAAGCCACGAATCAGTCTAAAGATCGACCATCCAAATTATTTTTTTTCATGAATGATCCTCAAAACTCCGTCAATGTATGCCAAATTTTTTATATAAACCTAACTTCACTGGACTTTGAGAAAGCCATTGACAACATGCCCATGCACTCAGTCCCAGGCCCAGACTCGTGGAATTCTGTATTCACTAAGAACTGCAATAAACGTCTTTCTCGTGCCCTAAGTATGCTATGGAGTGAAATTCCACAGTCACTAAAACTAACAGATATAGCCTCACTCCATAAAGGTGACAACAAAGCAACAGCTAAGAACTATAGACCAATAGCTCTAACGTCCCACATCATCAAAATCTTTGAGAGAGTGCTAAGAAGCATGATTGCACACCACTTGGATTACCAAAAACATGGGTTCAGAGCAGGTAGCTCCTGCCATTCTCAACTACTGGACCACTATGATATGGTCTTGGATGCACTAGAAGACAAACAGAAGCAGATGTAATATACACAGAGTTTGCAAAAGTTTTTGACAAGTGCGACCATGGTGTAATAGTGCACAAAATACGTGCTAAAGGGATAACTGGCAAAGTGGTCAGATGGATCTTCAGCTTTCTAACCAATCGAACACGAAGAGTAGTGGTAAACAGAGTTAAATTGGAAGTTGCCATAGTGAAAAGCTCTGTTCCACAAGGCAAAGTACTTGCCCCCTAATGTTCTTTATCCTCATATCAGACACAGACAGAGATATAAACCATAGCACCGTGCCATCCTTTACAGACGATACCAGGATATTCATGAGACTGTTGTCCATTAAGGACACGGTAAATCTCCAAGAAGATACAAACCAAGTTTTCCAATGGGCAACCGAAAGCAATATGATGTTTAATGAAGACAAATTCCAACTACTCCGTTATGGAAAAGTGAAGGAGATAATAACTAGAACTGAGTATACTACAAACTCTCATTAATCAATAAAACAGAAAAATTATGTGAAAGACCTGGGAGTGGTAATGTCTGAGGATCTCATCTTCAAAGAACACAACAGTGCCACTATAACTTCCGCGAAGGAAATGATAGGATGGATAATGAGAGGGTTCAAAACAAGAGATGCCAAGCCAATGATGATCCTTTTTAAATCACTTTTTGTTATAGGCTAGAATACTGCTGTACATTAACATCGCCATTCAAAGCAGGTGAAATTCCAGATCTAGAGAATGTACGGAAAACCTTTACTGCAAA